CCACTCTGACAAGAATATACCACAAATGGGATGGCCTTAACAAGCAGGAGTTTATTCTCTTACAGTTTGGAGGCATTAAGTCCAAGTTCAAAATACCAAGCTCTAGGGCCTGGGTGAAAGCCCCTCAGCCTTGGGCTTCAACTCTGCCTCCAGCTCCCGGCCCACTGGAGCTGGAGGCTTTTCTTCACTCAGACAGCTGTTAGCTGCTGAGGCTGCCATGCCCAAGGTTGACAAATAAAAAGGCACAGTCCCTATGTTATCATACCACACAGCAGGCTATTAATTCAAGTCCATTGTAAGACCCCAGGTCGGCAGAGCATGGCAGGCTGCTGAACAGTGACATGGCTACATGCAGGATTCAAGGTGCCATAAGCTAGAGACCATTCCCAAAGCTGCTTCTTACATATGGGAAGCAAACCACATACCCAAAGAAGCTACTCAGCTGCTTGTGGTAGATCCCACCAGTCTCATCATGGGGAATAACTACCACCAGCTGCCCAGCCACTCAACCAGGCCCAGCCTAGTTGACACACAAACATAACCACCACAGCACCTAACAACAGGAACAACAAAAGCCTCTGCCTTCTCCCTCTTTCATCTTCCCAATCCTCTCACTGTGATGTGGGGAGTGAAAGGTTAATAAGATAAAGCTTCACAATTAAAGGGTTAATAAAATCAAACCTCACAGTGAAGGATTAATAAAATCAAACCTCACAATAATTTACACTCAGCCAAAATGGAATATTAAAAGAAAACCCCACAAAATTCCAGACTATCAGACCTCTGAAAATAGTTAATGACTACTGTCTGACTCTTGTAAAATGTTATCTTATAGGGGCACCATGACCACAAGGAAGAAACAAACTGACTGAAAGGAAGGAACAGGCTGATCATGGGACTTGGCTGACTAAACCCTATGACTTCTTAAACCTCCAAAGGAATGAGAAGTTCAGAGAGAGTAATAAAAGGCCCTAATTCAGACAATCGCTGGTTAGTCTCTCTAGTGCAGGGAGCCAGCCCATTTTATTTGATGTTTGCATATCTTAAATAAACTCTCCTTTTCTATCTCTTTGTCCTGGTTTCTCTTGGCATCGGCAACTCAACCTTACAGGGAGGAAGCCAACACAAAAGGGAGGGACACACTCCAATAATACTCCACACAAATAATAGTGATAGCCACAAAAAATAATAGTAAGAAACAAGGAATGGGGAATTTCTTTGGACAAGACACTCTACAAACGTGCTGCCCTTTCAATCCATGTAATGAACCCAAGAGGTTAGCCCTGTGATTATCTGTGCCCCCTAATGGGTTTCTTGCAGCCCCTCCTCTTCTTACAACTGGACCAATAAGCAGCATCACAATAAATGAAAAAAAGATTGAAGTTGTCAAAGATTTCATAATTTCATTTCCACAATCAACACCAATGAAAGCAGTGGTCAAGAAATCAGATGAAGTATCACACTGGGCAAATCCGCTGCAAAAGACCTCTTTAAAGTGCTGAAGAGCAAAGATGTCTCTTTATAAACTAAGGTGTGCCTAATGCAAGCCATGTGTGATAGTTGAGGTTGTGTGTCAACTTGGCTGGACCATGATTCTGTGTGGTTTAAGCAGTTGTGATGTGGTTATTCCTATGATGAGATCAGATGTATATGTTTTGAGCAGTCAATCCATTGAAAGAGAGTTTCCCTAGGGGTGTGGCCTGCTTCCAATATCTATATGGACATCCTGGGGAAAAGACAGACTCTTCTGTGGATGTGGATTGTGTTGTGCTGCCTACAACTGTCCATGAGCAAACAATCCACCATTCGGCCTGGAGATCTTGGATTCGTCATTCGTTGGAGTCAACAGCCAGTACACTGCCTGCCAACCTTGAGCTCATCAGCCCCTGCAGCTGCGTGAGTTGGGAAAAGCCTCCAGCTTGACGTTTGATACAGGAACTTGGGACTTGCCAGCTTCTATAAGTGTGTGAGCCATTTTCCTAAGATAAATTACACACTCTCTCTCTACATATATATATATGGGGTTCTTGCAGCCCATCTTCTTCTTCTGACAACTGGACCAATAAGCAGCATTACAATAAATGAAGAAAAGATTGAAGTTGTCAAAGATTTCATATTACTTGGTTCCACAATATATATATAAGCTTTACTGGTTTTGCTTCTCTAGAGAACCCAGCCTAATGTATATCTTCAATAGCCACATATGCATGTGAGAGCTGGTCAATGAATAAGGAAGACCGAAGAAGAGTTGATGCTTTTGAGCTGTGGTGTTGGCGAAGAATATTGAAAGTACCACGGACTGCCAGATGAACTAACAAATCTCTCCTGGTAGAAGTGCAGCTAGAATGCTCCTTGGAGGCAAGAATGGCCAGACTTTATCTCACCTACTTTGGTCATGTGGTCAAAAGGGACCATTCCCTGGAGAAGGATGTCATGCATGGTGAAGGAAAGGGCCAGTAAAAAAGGGGGAGGCCTCAATAAGATGGATTGACGCAGTGGCTGCAATGATGGGCTCGGGTATAGCAAGGATCGTGAGGCTGGCACAGGACAGGACAGTGTTTTGTTCTGTTGTACCCGGGGTCACTATGAGTCCAAGCCGACTTGATGGCACCTAACAACAACAACTTCTTTTTCTAGATGCTGGAGCAACTTCCTAATATACTCCCAAATGACTGAAGAATAATAAACACTGCAGGCCTAGAGATGGATTGAGATGTGGAGTTTAGGGATCTCTTGAAACTCCCAGGTTGGAGGTGTGTGAGAAGCCCAGAAACAGCTGATGCTTGGTGGAGAGCTTGCCTGCAGAGGAAGGATCGTCAAGGAATCTTTCACAGTTGGGCTTTCCCTTGGCAGTGTTCAAAGCAAGATGCTTCACTAGAGTCTCATCTTTGAAAGACTGCAGAGTGAGGGGGTGGGAAGGTGGCAGTAATCAAAACTGGTTTTGTAGCTTTTTACTAAAGTTGTTAATATACCATTCATCCATCTTGCTCTTGGCTAAGACTCTTCATGTCCTTCTCGTTGTAGCAACATTGATGGCTCTGTTTCAATACAAGATGGGCGGATTCCTTGGGTGTGGGTGACATAATTTGATATAAGGGGAAGTAAAGGTCCCACCCAGATTTTACTTAACAAAGTCTTGCCCGTCCACTGCTCTTCTCCCGTCCTCTCCCAGTCCAGCAACATGGTGCCCAGAAACTTCGGTAAGTCAAGCCCAGCCCCAAGTCCAGCCTAACTGTTATATGAAGTACCTCTCACATACCTTCAAACCTCAAACCTACTTCTCTCTCTTCTCTTCAATTGTGGACTTCCCACCTCATTACCACCTCTGTGTTATCTCTGACTGCATGGCCACTTCCTCCAACCTGCAAATTTCAGAATCTTCACTCTTCCCAGAGTCCTCCCTGCACTTTCTTATCTGTCAAGACACCCACCTGAGTCAGTCTCAAAACCCGCTCTGGGCTGTTGTGGAATGAAAGAAGCTCGGAGGCATTAACCTGAACCCTGTGAATGTGACCAGATGGCTACATTCCCAGACTCATCTTCATTTCCCTTCACTTTTCAGCTGCTGCCTTCATTTTTTAATTCTTGGACTCAGATTCAGAAGGAGTTGCAGGTGGAGATGGGTGTAGTGAGGAAGGAGAGAGAGAGGAGGGAGAAGACAGCACTATAGATGGGTCCCAGAGACCTCATTCATCCATTTATTTGTATTGTGGAAGGTTATGCATTTTGTGAAATGCTTTTTCCTTTTGATCATCTTTTGAGGTGGCCATGTGTTCTTCCCCCATTTTTTCTCTTCCAGCTACTGCCAGTGTACTGTTAGTCTTCCTTCTCCAAAGTTCAAAGGTAATGACAGGTAAGTAGAAGGATGGGCAAGAGTGAAGAGGAAGAGGCTGCCTTGGGAGGAAGATGTGAGTTCATAGAGGGCTCCCATTTGGGGGTTAGTACCCGGTCCTCTTGGGTTCACACCAGCAATATCTTTCTAGACTCCCACACTGGCTCTGAACTGTGGATATGCCAACCAGCACCCAAGTGTGGGGACCAGATCTACAACCCCTTGGAGCAATGCTGTGATGATGAGACTGTCCTGCCCTTGAGCAGGACCCGTCTCTGTGGACCCAACTGTCCCTTCTGGCCCTGCTTTGAGCTCTGCTGTCCGGAGTCTTTTGGGTCACAGAAGAGATTTGTCATGAGGTTGAAGGTTCAGGGGGTGAAGTCCCAGTGCTGGTCTTCTCCCATCTCCAGGGTCTGCACCAAGTAAGTATCCTGGCTCTGGCTGTGGGGAGGTGATGTGAGATGACGAAATGAGAGAAGTTCTTTAGTTCTTGTGTGAGAAAGCTGTGTGTCTCTGGGCAAGAGGCTTGCTGGTGCAGTGGGGTGCACCTGGGTTCCCCTATCAGCAGAGCTGAAAGAACTTTGTAACACTTAAGCAGGGCAGGGGCTAGACCAAGGGGCCAAGTGCCAGAAAGACATACCTGAGGGCATAGCAGAGGGGGAGACTGTTCTAATCGAAGAATTATATCCTGAAAGCATTCCTGAACCTGTGTTATAACCTGTTACTTCCCTAAGAAACCCAGTGACTGTACTGTCTGTGAGTTCTATGTAGCCATTGTAATGAATTATCAAACCCAACAGAGAAATAGTGAGTGCCTTGGGAGGGACGGTTTGTATCAGAGTTGGTAAAAAGTCTGGAGTGTGGTGGTGTGTCTGACTTCATAGAAATAAGCCTCGGGCTGCTGATGGTGAGTCTGTCTCCCTCTTGTGAATTAAAGGAAGCCAGAAGATGCTGCCTCCACCTCCGTTTTGCAATTATTAATATTAGAAAAAAATATTAAATATAGATATATACCTCAACAAGATGGATTGACACAGTGGCTACAACGATGCGCTCATGTATAGCAGGGATCGTGGGGCAGGCACAGGACCAGGCAGTGTTTCATTCTGCTGTTCATAGGGTTGCTATGAGTCAGAGATAACTTAATGGCACCTAACAACAGTATACCAAGTCTGTCTGTCTGTCTGTCTCTCTCTCTCTCTCTGTATATATATATATGTATGTATATATATGTGTGTGTGTGTGTGTACACACACACACACACACACATATATATATATAAACCAAACCAAACCAAAACCAAACTCACTGCCATTGAGTTGATTGCAACTCATACCAACCCCCATGGGGTTTCCAAGGCTGTAAATCTTTTTTTTTCCCCATTTATGGAAATATATATTTCTCTTTCACAGAAATTAAAGACAATAGTCTGATATTCAAAGGTACTGATTGTAGCAATTTTACATGCAGCTGTAGTCAAGGAGATGAGTTGTTTTATTATATCACAAGGTAATTTATTCCTTTTTTTTTTTTTTTTACTTGTGAAACTGTGGCAGTTCAGTTTGTGTGTCAACTTGGCTGAGTCTGGTTGAGTGGCTGGACAGCTGGATGTAGTATTCCCTGTGATGAGACTGGTAATCAGCTCCATGGTGGAATCTACTGTGAGCAGTTGAGTAGCTGCCTTAGGGAATTTGGTCTGCTTCCTGTATATAAGCAGTAGCCTTGGGGAATGGTTTCTAGCTTATGGCACATTTGAACCCTGCATGTATCTGTGTCATTGTTCAGCAGCCTGCCATGCTCTGCCAACCTTGTAACTTACAATGGACTTGAATTAATGGCCTGCTGTGTGATTTGGTAACATCGGGACTGTGCCTTTTTACTTGTCAACCTTGGGCTTGGCAGCCTCAGCAACCAGCAGCTGTCTGAGTGAAGAAAAGCCTCTAGCTTCAGCGGCCAGAGAGCTGGAGGCAGAGCTGAAGCCTAAGGCTGAGGGGCTTTCCCCCAGCCCTTAGAGCCTGGCACTTTGAACTTGGACTTAAAGCCCCAAAACTGTAAGAGAATAAACTCTTGTTTGTTAGGGCCATCCCATTTGTGGTATATTCCTGTCAGAGCATCACAGAAACCATACACAACAAAACATTCACCAACATAACAACTTCCCCATTTACAGCTCAGGGACATTGATGACATTTTTCATGTTGTGCCACCATTGTAATAATACTCATGATTATGGGGTTTATTAGAGAAGTAACAGGCTACAGTTCAGGTTCAGGAACACACTCAGGGCACAGGTCTTCAGCCAGCACAGTCTCCCACCTGCTGTACCTTCAGGCTCACCTCTCTGGCCCTTGGCCTCCCAGCCTGGCCTCTGTTCTGCTGGGGAAAATGTTACAAAGCTCTTTTAGCTCTACTGATAGGAACACCTAGGAGCACCCACTCTGCCAGCAAGCCTCCTGCCCAGGGGCACTCAGCTTTCTCTTTCCATGGGCTAGAAGGCCCATTGCTCTGTCTCGTGCTTTGTGGTTCCACTGCCACTGTCTCTCTGCCAGGTATCTCTGCCATGGAGGTCCAGGGCACGGATCCTGGGTCTGAGGACGTGCTCTCCTTCATCTCCAGCTCTCCTCTCTTGATGGCAGTGAGATCCCCTTTTCTGCCTCTGTTCTTGTTGTCGTATGTGCCCTCCAGTCAGACCCGACTCATAGCAACCCGTCCTTGGGTTTCTGAGGCTGTATCTCTATGGAAGTAGATTGCCCAACCTTCCTTAGGATTTCTGCCTCTAGGAAGGCTCATTTTAAGCCTGGCAGAGTGACAAACTAACCAATCCCACCATTAGAGTTCCATACACCTTATTTGCATGGTCCCATCCTGCCTCTTGGGTGTGGGGCCTGTGTCCCTCCCCTTGCCTGAGATCCCTGCTGCTGCTCGGTCTCACCTACTTTGGTCATGTTATCAGAAGGGACCATTCCCTGGAAAAGGATGTCATGCTTGGCAAGGTGAAGGGTTGACAAAAGAGGGGAGAGCCCTCAACGAGATGGACTGACACAGTGGCTGTGGTGATGGGCTTGAGGATAGCAAGCATTATGGAGCTGTCACGAGACTGGTGGTGTTTCATTCTGCTGTGCATAGGGTCACTATGAGTCAGAGATGACTAACAACAACCACAACCCAGTAATACGGAGGGAGTCACAAAGATCATGGCTAGAAAAACCATCCTGTTCTGTAATGTTAGGCAGGAAGGTAGGACAGGTGGCCTGCCCTGGGGGCAGGCCCAAAGGGAGGAGAAAAGGTGGAATATTTAAGAAGCTTAATGAGCTAACACCTGCAACTGACCACAGCTGCCTCTAAGATCTGGCCGATCAAATTAAGCAGAATAACCACAGACCCAGGAACTTGAGGTTTTGGGGAATTCCCTAATTTGGAGCATGCATAGAAGCCTCATACCCCTGACCCAAAGTAACTTTATGATGTAGCCATATAATTATAATCTAATTAGCACCACCTTCTAAATGTGGTTTTGGTCTTTCAGGATCTGAACATGTGCAGAAAGCCTCTCAGAGGCCTGTCACTCAACCTGTCTGTCACTCAAGGGACTCAACTCCACCCTAAGAATGCCCCTTCACACCCCTTTTAGGAAGTATAAAACCAGCAGAAGTTAAGAAGCTTGGTATCTTTTTCCATCCCATGGGAAAAGACCTGTTCCCACTCCTTTAATTCTGAGTTCCTTTTAATAAAGGCTTGTGTTCTTGTGTGACCAGTGCCTTGCTAAGTATGTTTGTTAAGCCGCCACCGAATATTGCTCACTCCTGTCACCCAACACCACTCGCTTGTGGATCACCTAGAACTGCCTGCCACGGATTGTTTATTCACAGAGATTCTTCCCGGGAGTAGGGCGAGGCCAGGGAGAGGGAGAGGGCTTCTCCCCTGGATAACATTTTGGTACCGAAACCTGGGACAGAAGACAACAGGCAGGCCCAGGCAAAATCAAGGAAGAGGAATGGAAGGAATTGTCTTAAAGGCACAGAATGAGTGAGCTTGTGTGTTTGGTGGAGCATGTGTGCTTGGCATCAGCTGTTTTTTTTTTTTTTTTTTTTAAAGAAGCCTACCGACCCAGGAACTTGAGGTTTTGGGGAGTTCCCTAATTTGGAGCATGCACAGAAGCTTCATACCCCTGACCCAAAGTAACTTCATGATGTAACTGTATCATTATAATCTTATTAGCACCACCTTCTAAATGTGGTTTTGGTCTTTCGGGATCTGAACATGTGCAGAAGGCCTCTCAGAGGCCTGTCACTCAACCTGTCTGTCACTCAAGGGACTCAACTCCACCCTAAGAACGCCCCTTCACACCCCTTTTAGGAAGTATAAAACCAGCAGAAGTTAAGCAGCTTGGTGTCTTTTTCCATCCCATGGGAAAAGACCAGTTCCTACTCCTTTAATTCTGAGTTCCTTTGAATAAAGGCTGTATTCTTGTGTGACCAGTGTCTTGCTAAGTATGTTTGTTAAGCTGCCGCCAAATATTGCTCACTCCCGTCACCCAACACCACTTGCTTGTGGATCACCTAGAACTGCCTGCCATGGATTGTTTATTCACAGAGATTCTTCCCGGGAGTAGGGCGAGGCCAGGGAGAGGGCTTCTCCCCCTGGATAACATTTTGGTACCGAAACCTGGGACAGAAGACAACAGGCAGGCCCAGGCAAAATCAAGGAAGAGGAATGGAAGGAATTGTCTTAAAGGCACAGAATGAGTGAGCTTGTGTGTTTGGTGGAGGGTGTGTGCTTGGCATCAGCTGTTTTTTTTTTTTTTTTTTTTCTAAAGAGGCCTACATTCTAAAGCAGGCTTTTAGGTTTTTTACTTTTCTATACTCTCGAGTTTGGGGAAATGAAAAATTTAATTAAAGGATGAGCTGGAGAGTCCTCCTGACCACATGAATCTTTTGTTACACCAACCATTATCCTCAGACATTGTTTTTGTGCTTTCCCATATTATCAAAGTGGAAACTTTAAACCAGAATGTGTGCACCTCAAAACCTTCTGTACTGGGTCAGTGAGGCTCTAGCACAATGAAAGGTTTGGCATCAGCCTCCCCATAGGCACTCTCAGCCTCCACCCCTGTTTTACCAGGCCAGGGGGGTCCACCTTACAATACCACATTAGCCTAGCTAACATGAGAATCTGCACTAAGTTTTGGGCCAAATTCTACCAGTGGGCACCCACTTCCTAAATGACAGAGGAGGCAGGAATTGTAGAGCAAGTGTGAGAGCAGGCACTGCATGTGCCTCTATCATGGATCTGTGAAATGGATACGTCTGGTCTGGGAAGATCTGGAGTCCCCAGTTAGACCCCAGGTGTTTTGGTTACCTTGTGGTGCTCTGACAGGAATAGACCACAAATGGGATAGCTTGTACAAACAGGTGTTTATTCTCTTA